TGTCTAGATGTGGATCACGGTGATTCTGATTCACAGGGGCTGTGGGGTAAGGAGGAGGAGCTTTTGGAGAATTGTGTTTATAATTTAATTGAGCGTTAGATTAAGTTGGTATTGTAGTTACTCTTTATAGAAGGGACACGGGAGCTCTTACATTATAGTCACATTGCAGTTTTCATTTGAAACCTCTGAGCCTTCTCCTACCTTAGAGCAATTCAAAGGATGCGGTCGCAGTTCATTCGAATAAGGGAAAGATCTAAACTAAATATTAAAGCATTTAGAATATTATTACAATGAGAACTCTTGCACGTGATGAAAGGATGGAAAAAGGTTTAGAGCGTTTCCCAGTCTTTTTGTGCTCTCATATATGTATATTTATACATGTCATAAATTTGACTGCTGACAGGGAGGTATAGATCCAACTAATTTACTGATGCATCAGGAGTATGCGTTGCCCCTTGAACCCTTCTGCTGTTGCATCTGTGTTTTCACAAGCAATATGCAGTATGTACATTTTAAAATACGCCCAAGACATATAGACCCCTATTTACTGGTAAATTAATCTGCAACAGACTTGAAACAATTCTGACTGCTTAAAAAACTGTTTCATTTTTGAAATGTGTCCTGTGTGCAGCTGTCCAGTACCTTTAGACCAGAGAAGCTGCACATATCATGTAGTGAGACACTTGACTGTGATGTAGCAGAATGGGAATTATTTCTGAAAAGGGAAAAAAAAAAGACAGATTTAGGCTATAGAAATCTCAGCTAAACAGTAACTTGAAAGTAAAATAGCTCACAGACAACACACTTTTTGAAGTTTTATTGGCAACCAGTAGTATGTTGACGATAATGTTTTGAGTGGTGTGTTAAGTGTGTCATAATTCTCTCACAAAGATCTCCAGTAAAAAGAACTCTGGATATAGCACTGTTTTAATTTAAAAAAACAGATATAAATCATATGCAGGAAAGGAAGTATATTATAAACAGTGCTGGGTTTGATTATAATTTTTTTTAAGTAATCTTGACTTAGTATTAGATTTGAATTTTAAATCTTAATACTTGCACACACTGAGGAGGGAGTCCATGTGGAGTGTGCTAGCTAATAAGATTGTCAGTGCAAACTGGTTTTGTGGGGAAGAGTATTAGACATATACCTATCCTATTAATACAGCTTTATCTATTGATCCTCCAGCATAAAAGAAATAGATATTGTGCACCCGGGTCCAAATCATATTAGCTTCTTAAACTTAACAGCCAGTGGTACTTTATTTGAGTAGGTTTATCAGAATTTGTCCCTCTCTTTATGTGTCTGCCTTGGAGTTTTTACTGAAAGACCCAAACTGCCACGTTAGATGTTAAATGTTTTGCATGATGCTGATAGTCTTTGCTGACAGCAAAGAGTCTTGGTGGACCTAAAGAAAAAAAAAAGGAACTTGAAGTCTAAAACCTCTCCCCAGTAGCACCACAGTAGTTAAGGGTCTGTCAGCATTTCCACTCCAAACCCCAATTTTCAGAGTTTATAACTCAGCTGTTTTAAATAGCTTCAAGCTGAAACCTGCTGTATAAATTGTCAGCCCAGATGTATATTTTGAAACAAAAAGGAGTGCAAATCAGTTATTCTGTTTTAAGTTACAGAACATTAAAATATTTTTAATGGTATCAGATGCTCTTTTGGCAATCCTTAGAAAAGGCGTTCTCAAGATGGAAGATTTTACATTCAGAGGCTGTTAGAATTCAGTGTTTTGCAAGTAAAACTGTTGAAGTGGTAGATATCAGTGTTGGAGAGGAACTGTTTAGCATGTATACTGGCTGTATTTTCAAACCAAGCATTTTACTCTGCAGAATGTCTTAGTACCTGCTGTTGTACAGTAGTTTTGCTTCGTGCTTATAACTTCCGTCTTTAGGGTACATACTTTGGCCAGTTCAAATCCCACTGGACCGAAACTGGGCAAACAGGTTGCCTAAGCAGAGGAGAATTGTGTTATGCAAAAAATACATAGTTATTTTCAACTTGTAAGAATTGGTTTGGGTTTATTTTGCGGCTTCGTCTGACTGCGTGTACCTTCGTCAGCTTCAGTGGAAAGAAAAAAAAAAGGGGGGAAAAGCAATATGTACCTTTAATCACCAAAATGTGCAAGTAGTTTAATATGGAAAATAAAAGTTTTGAAAAAGTAGTGTTATTTATGCTTGAAGAATAGATAAGGGATGTGCCCTGTGCTACTTTTAATCTTTATTTTTTTACGTAGTCCTTATTCATTTCACAGTGCGCTGACAATCCTCTTTCTAAGAACGTGTAAATGATTTTGGATTGATACATAGCATAAAATTAATGAATCAAAGTTTATGCCAACAGTCTTTCAGGAGGTGAGGTTCCCTTTTAAAATTCTCAGAATGATGTGTATTCCTCCAGGTTTCAAACTTGTCTTGCAAAACTTTTCTAACCAGTATTATTCTAACGAGCTATGATGTACGTGTGCGATAGTTTTCTGATATTTCACGGTAGAAAAGTATGAAGTTGTGAAAAGAATGAGCATTTTACTCCTGTCGCATAGCAGGGGAGCTTCCCGTGTAGTAGGACTTTATTAGACAAAGTGTTTATTTTCACCTCTGATTTCAGTTTGTCTTTTCCATCGTTCTTCTCCTAATGAGGAGTAGAAATATTGCACCATACTGCATCAGAAAGCTGGTGCCTTTCATCTGACATGGAGTGCAGAGGGTAGGGAGGAAAGCTCTGAAAAGCAGCAGGGACCTGGCGGGGCCTTTTCAGAGATTTTGCTCCCTCCTGGCCAGGTGCTACACGCTGTGCCCGTGCCGGGAGAGCGGGTGGAGACAGCGATGCGGTGCCACTGCCCGCCCCGTGCTCTGGCTAGCTAGAGAGAGCGAGGTGAGCTGAGGCTGCAGGCGCTTCACTCCCTCTTCTGAGGCCCCTGGCAGGCTCGTACTTCCTCCTGTGCCCTCGGCTTCGCATTTCTGGAGTTAGTGTGCTTTCTTGTTGCTGTTTCGTGAGGTATAAAAAGCACAGGTTGCAGCTCCCCTGGATGCTAACGTGCATGACATGACTCTCCAGAGATACCGTGGTCTATCACAAACGGGGAAGAGAGTGTTCTATAAGCAGTCTCAGACCCCATGCATTAATGTTTAAGCCAACATCTATTTATTAAGGGTTAGAGTCAGTTCTATAATCTGTTCAGCAGATTGTTATTTGTTGTTTGATTATTATTTGTTATTCCTTTCACCTCACTTTGAAGCCTTCAGACCTGGTTGCTGTCAGACCCAAGGCACACAGATGGTGGGACCTCATATCTTACCCACAGTGGTGATTCATGTGTTTTTATGTTCAAGGACATTTGTATCACTTTAACATAGAATATTTACTTGATAGGCAGAGACGTCACAGTAGTTTGTGGCAAAACTCAGTTTTCAATTTTGGGTGGTATGACCTCGTGTTTTATGGAAAAACAGAAAAACACCAGGTTAGATCCTTTTTATACAGAGTTTCAGCTTTGGTTTCTTCTCTCTCTTCACCATTTCTTTTAAATAAGATGAGCTATGACTTTCAGTAGTATAACCTATTTTAAATATTTTCGATTTTGAAAGCCTTCGTCGTTAGTGTTTGTTGTTTTAGAGAAACACTGTACAGTGCACTGGGCCATGTAATGCTCTTCCCTATATATTCAGAACTCCTTATTCTTTCCACTTAATTAATATTAAAGTGCAACCTGCAATTATTAGTCTCAGAGAGGATCATTTATGGGAAAGACATTTCAAGTCAGGCTTAGCACAAAATGTAAAATATATTTCAGGAGACAGAATAAATTACTCTGAATAATATAAAATGTCCTAACTGACCATGTTATCCTGTAGAAGCTTCAAGAGGACAGATTTTGAAGCCCAGGATTATTTTCTTTCAAGTCCAAAGTCAGACATGCAATATTTATGAATCTCTTTTTGTTACAAGTATATTTCCAGCATCAGTATGAGCTAACTGAGCAAAATGAAATTATTTTTTTGATACTTTTGTGGACTTTTTTTACCCTCTGTGAAGAAATTTTTGTATTTTCTTCCTAGTACCTTAATACTCCTGTTTATTTTTACTTTAAAAAGTCACAGTGCAGTAACACTCTAGGTATCCTGGGTGTTTTCAAATTAGAAGACAGAAGCTGTCTGCTCTGTGGCATTTATCTAATCAGATGTTGGAGCACTACACAACCACTGAAGCATAAAAGTGAGACTACCAGATGCTAGCTGAAACATAATGAGAAATACTTTGATATCTTCTGTTCACCCATCCTGGAATTTGAGGGAGTTATCAGTGCTAACCACATGCGACTCCTGCGAGTGCTATGAAAATTTACATGCCTGCAAGGAGATACAGCTTTTGTTTAACGTTGCATCTGAAGAGTTTGAATTCCAGCCATAACGTGCTCCATCACAGCAGCTTGTTGGGTGGAGAACTTTGTCTGCTGATGCCCCCGGTGCCACTCCTGGGGTGGGTAGATGGGGAGTTTCTCTCTAGCGAGAAGTCTGAGGAGCTGTGCGGTCAGGGTGATGGGTGCAACCAGCAGAGAAGTAGAACCAAACCTGGGTGATAGGGCTGCTTATAGCAATTTCTAGCTTTCCATTTCCAATGTGTTCCTGTGTATAATTCATGGATATGAGCCATGCCTCATGTTTTCTCGCCACTCACTCATTGCTAAGAACAAAGTTGGCCTTCAGGAAGCATTCAACCATGCACTCTACATAAGGACGTTGACTGTTTCTGAAGAAATGTAACAAAGGAGAATCTCCCTATTAGGCTATGAGAAAGGGAGACAATACAAGATGCTTCTTTGTTTGATGTGGCACTTTGTTCTGTGTTCAGCTAATACATGACTCTTCACCACAGTGGGCTGGAGAAGCTGCCACAGAGCTTCGTAATGAGCATGGCAGCCTGCAGAGCTGGGATGGAGATGTGCTTTCAAAGTGTTCCCTCACGAGCTGTGAATGTCTTCCCCTTTTAACAGGTGGTGGCCTTAGGAGAAGTGCCTGATGGGACGGTGGTCACTGTCATGGCTGGAAACGATGAGAACTACTCTGCAGAGCTGCGAAACGCTTCTGCTGTGATGAAGAACCAGGTGGCCAGATTTAATGACTTACGATTTGTGGGCAGAAGTGGACGAGGTAGGCCTCTGCATTTTACCTGTCCATAATGAAGTGAGACTATTGTCTAGACGTCAGACTGACTTTGCAATGAAATACTGATTAATCTGTAAATAAATCATTGCCAGCCTCTCATTTGGAGGGATGAATGCGTGTTTTATTTGCAAACTTACGCACTTGTGCAAAACGAGTTAAGAGTTTCTCTCAAGTTTGTCTGACTCCTCACATCCCTTTATGTTATTATCAGAGACAGATTTTGCAGAATGATTCACAGAATACATGCTTCCGTGTTGTAATCACACAGCAAAGGTAGAAGGAAATGGGACTATTTGTGATCTGGGTTATGTGGAGTCACAGAGTGTATCTCAGGCCGTGGCAGTGAGAGGTGGAGAATTCCCTTCAGCAGTAGAGCTGCTTCTGAAGTTGTTGTAGAAGACCTATAATTAAGGGGATTTTGCATATCACATGGGCTATAGGTTATATTCTTTAAGAGTTTACATCTTTGAAGGCTTACAGCTATTGGTGGAAAGGTTTTAGTGACTTCCTTGCCCTTTACAATCACTGCATATGACCTTAAAAAATAGGTCGTACTTTTCTTTTTAGTAAACTGCTTGACTTTTTATGAATTGCTGGTAAGCTTGGGCTTGACCTAAATTTAACCTTTACTTTAAATGACAGGGTAACTTTCAATTATTTTGAAGATGCCGAGTGCTGTCATTGTCTTCTAGCTGTTCAGGAGCTGCCTATAATCTGGAAACTGCACTGCATTCATAGAAAGCCTTTGTAATCATTGCAAGTTTGCAAGAATTACTCTTTAAAGAGTCTTGTAGCTGCTTTCAAATTTTAGGTAACGATGGAAAGGATGGCTTGTAGGAAGCTGGCACTTCAGTTTTTGCTGCAGGAATCTTCAGAGGGGGTTGTTGTATCAAGAGTTGATTCAGCCTACATATTTTTTCCTTTATGTACTTGAAGTAATTACTCATTTTTTCAAACTAGCCTTGCGTAGGGCAAAACAAAACAACAGAAGCCAAACAATTGTGCTGGGAAATTAGCAATAAAGCTTATTTTACAGTAATATTCTTTAGAAACCATTTGTAAGTTATCTTAAGGAAGCAAAGAGTATTTGTCCAAAAGCAAGTTAAGCATACGACAGAGGCCTAGGTAGTCTGAACCAACTGGCACTTTTTTTACAAATACTTTGTGAAAGTGAGTCCATATAGTATAAGTGACACCCATAGGCATCACTTAGAGTGGTTATTTTTTATTTTAGTGACCTAGCCAACAAGCCTCTTTATCATTTTATGACTTCAAAAGTATTGATAATAAAAAATAACTTGAAAGACAGAATGACTATTGCAACAGTAATGCAATATAAATATGGAGTTCATTTGCCCTCTTGGATAAGGTGTTACCTCCCTCTTCCATTTGTCTTGCTTTCTTTTGAAAAAAAAAATCCATTCTGCTTTGTTATTCTGCTGATGGATTAGGTTTGAAAGTTCTCTGGCTCCATCACTACTGCTGCCTTACAGTAAAAGTCCAGTAGTGTATCAGTCTTTCAGTAGTGCTGAAAAAGAACAGAAATGTGATGTACTACCTCTGATCCACAAATTTAATTTGAAACCTATGATATATACTTTTTATTAAAGCATAGGAAATTAAATAGAGGGACTGATGCCTCACTAGATACAGCTACAGACATATGCAAGCACAAAGCTTCTAAAATTCCGTTCCTGTAGCTTAATTTATATTTGTATCTAGCAGACTTGGAGAGACTTTTTTTCTGATCAATCTGGGTAGAAGCTATGGAAAAGTGATAGTGTACTTTTCAAACCCTCAACGTATTTATTTAAGAGACTTCAAAGAAAAACAAAGGGTGTGCACTGTTTTACTATATTGGCTTTCTGAGTTTTGGCTAGTTTCCCAAATAGCAATTTTTATATTGAAAAAAAAAAAAGAAAAAAAAAAGAAAAAAAAAGGGAAGAAAAAAGACAGACTTAACTGCTTGCAGACTTTTCACGCATGGAAGATGAAGAAAGCTTCTTTTGATGAAGTGTAATTATGTCCAAACAGAGCTGACCCCCTCCCCCTATATTTCTTATGATCTTAACGGAAGAAAGTAGGGCTTTGCCTTTGAAGCAGCCGGGACTCGGTGGAGGATCTGAAATGCTGCATTCTGCTGCCAGAGGCAGGATGGAGAAATTGGTCCAGACTTGTCTTCCAGACTTAGAACAGAGAGGGGGAGAGAGAGAGAGAGTGAGAGAGGGAGAGGTAGAGAAGGAGAAAGAGTTATCATTCATGATAGATTTTTAGGCCTCTTCTTAAAATAGCAGGTAAAGAAATCAGTGGTTGCAAACAGAAGTGAGAAAGCTCCTTACGTAGACAAATATCAGTAGATACAGGTCTTGAAGTAGAACAGGAAAAATAAAGTAATAAAGAAATCATTTTTCGGTGGCGAGAAACTGATCCACACCTGTTCCTGACTTTAGATTTACATCTTTCTAAACAGCTCGCTCTTTGATCTCTGTATCTCTAAATTTGATTGTGAAGTCTGAATCATCAACTTACCACTTCACCTCCTCTCCCACGTTTTCGCTTGCTTCCCATGGCTCAGTGGAGAAACTTGATTTTTATACATATTAATGTTGCCTGCCTGACAGAAGCTTCACGTTTTTGTTTGTATAATTTCTCTTAAACACCTTTTCTGGATTCATAAGAATAAGTAACTGGGGCTCTTTATGTGAATGCAGAAGTTGTTTGTATGTGGTTTTGAGGCAGTAGCTCACTTTTACGAGCCTGATCCACAGCACAGAGAAGAAAGAATTCCTGTCTTCAATAAGCAAAGGATCATAACCTTAATTTTGTTGTGTCCTGATACTTTAATCACGTTAGCATCTAACTGAAAAAATATGCACCACGCACAAGCTGCCAAGTCACCTTTCAAGCTAATTTCTGGGGTTTGCCTTGTGCTTCAGCATGTGTCCATCTCGTCCTCCCCTGTGTCAGCTCAGCTCACACATGTGAATAACAAAGAATGCACAGTTGAGACACACTGGATCAGTAGTGCCAGATGACTGCTCGGCTGGGGAATTTAATAAAAGAGAATTACAATTAGTCTTCAGCCTCTAAAAGTGGACAGTTGAAATGACCAAGGGCAATAAAGAAAGGTGATAAAAAGTCCATTAAAGGATTTTGTAGCTGAGGAGGGATATCTGTGAAATATCTGTGGAAGGCATAAGGATCACTGAAACAGAGGACCTTAGAAATTTATTTTGGTCTTAATCCTGTAATATGTAAATCATCTTTTGAAAGCCCTGGAACCTGAGTGCACTGGCAGGGCTGCACAGCTCCCCATGCTGAAGTGAGGTTTTGTTTACTGAATGTGAGGGGGCTTCATCAGTGTTACCTCACTGATGCTTTGGGTTGGTAGAGTACCAGTTAGGGAACAAAAACAGTTTGCCTTACAAATTAGATGCTTACCTGTTCATGTTTGGCTGGCTGAGAGGTGACAGTTTAGAAATGCTCACGGGTGAGGTCAAAATGTGGCTCTTAGATATGAAGGAATGCATTTTTTTTTTTTTTACTGCTGTATCCTGTTGAGGTATATTTAGTGCAGAAAATCATGTAAATGTGAGGTTACAAGGTCTTACAAACAGTATATGTTGTCAGGTTAATTTTTAGTCCTCATAGGCTTTTGCACTGATTTGGTGTATAAATAGAGCAACAGCATCGGAAGGTCAAATTCTTCATTCAGAGGTTTATGGAAAGTCCCTGTAGTGTCTTTGGTACCAATAGCATTCTACCCGTTTCATGTGGGTATCTGTGATCTGAATAGCATCATCACACAGTTTCATCATCAGGACTTCTGGACATGATAAGCTGGTGCCAAAGGAGGCCTCAAACCTGTCTGTGGTGAATTCTATATATCCAAGCAATAGGCTGAATTCCTGCTTGGAGGAGGGTTAAAAGTCACGGGCCCTTTTCAGCCCCACACGAGCAGGCATGGAGGCACCATGGGCTTCAGTAGGGCTGTTGCTGGGTGGCACAGGCTGTATGCTGGCGGGACACACAGGTTTCCTTTGGGGATGGTGTATTGGCTGGACTGGACAAAGACTGAATGTCCTACATACACCTAACTCTCCCCCTGTGATGGTCAGTCTCAAAGATCCAAGAAATATTCCATTTCCCAATGAAATTGGGGAAAGCCACCTTCAGCCATGCATCTCCTCTGAGATAAAATCCACTATCCTGAGACTTTTACACCTTTGCTGGGGTCCTGACCTCCCCTTTGACCTGCATCTCTCAGAGAGGTGGGCACAGCTGGAGTGCAGCTACACCTGGAAAATCATTTTACTCTAAATGACAGTTATATTTCTCTCTAAAAAAAAAACCAAAATCCATGTCACATTCTAGTTCGTGAAAAATATAGGCAAGACAGTTTGAAGTTACACTCCTGATAATAAATGATGCGTGTCTCAGGCAGGTTTGGGGGATATACAGCTTGGACCAGAAGGAAAGACCAATTACTAGATTTGACAGCCAAAGCTCTGTTCCATATTATGCTTTATATATAAGCTGTTCTATATTAGGCTCGAAGAAACTGCATTAAGCTTGTGCTGTTACATATTGTTGGAGATTTGTGTCTTGATTGAATGCCTTCAGAGTTTAGCAAGAGGAAAAGCCCTAGCAACAAAAATGCACGTATACACACGGGGGTGGGGGAAGAGAGTTCTAAGAGTCTGGTAAAGTAGCAGCTTAAATGAGCACGAAGGCTGAGGATTGCTGACTGTTTTATTGAGTCACTGTTGTACGCCCACCTTTTCCTGTCTTGAAACAGTTTTCAGTTTTGACTATCTGACGTGACTAACCGTTGCATATCTAACAGATTACAACTGTCAGTGAGTCTCCCAAACGGGGGCCAGCCTTGTGAGAATGTGAGCTCAGGCTCAGGCAGCTCCCTTTATTTATTTCTTTTTAACGTTTTCATTCAGCTAAAGGCTGCGGATGGTCTTGTGCAATCTTTGTGTGAATTTCAACTTTGGAAAATTAAAAAAAAGAAAAGCAAGGAGGCTTAGGATAGCGACGTTCATGCACATAGAAGTTTCTCACCCTCTTGGGAAAGCTGGGGGTTTTCTTAGTATTTCATAGATGGAACATATATAGGAAAAAAAGTGTGTTCCAGTAATAATGATATCATCCTATTACCACTGGCACATGAAGGACAGGAGACACTGATTCCCTGCGAATATGACTCCCAGAAGGGAAATATATTCTTTCTTCATCTTATTGTAGTCAAGTCAAACAAATGAAATGATAAAACTGTGTGAAGTAAATAACATGTGGCCACATTCTGCTCTCTGTCACACAGCTGCAAAACTGGAGTAAATTTTTAAATTATCCGACTTACTTTGGATTTACACCACTTTCAATACAGCAAAGAATTTGGCTTGTCCTCAGCAGTGAATCACTTTTGTTCTGTCATTGTATGATGACCCATTATTAAATAAGAAACATTTAGATTGTCAACACATGGACATATTCCTGACATAGAGTAAAACTGAAGGGGAGGAAAACTCCTATGGTCAGTTATGTTTTTAATTTTCACGATTGTGGTAACGACAGGGAATAATTTTAAATGTCTCTGATTCTTTACTGAACATGCATGTGACTGTTTTCATGTTGTAATCACTCATTCCTTGTTGGTTTTTTCCCTTTGTAGGGAAGAGCTTTACTTTGACAATAACTGTCCTGACAAATCCCCCCCAAGTCGCTACATACCACAGAGCCATAAAGGTTACAGTGGATGGGCCAAGGGAGCCAAGAAGTGAGTATTCTATTCTTATTTTTGCACTTACGTCTGCTTAATTTTGTTTAACAGAGACCCATAAATGAAATATATATCTTTGTCAAACACTGGTTCTTGCTCAGCAAAATATGTAAGCGCATGCTTAGTTTGGAGTCTATTGGACCACACACATACTTGCATTAAACACTCACTTAAGTGCTGGCTGAATTTGGGCAATCACAAACCTGATTCTCATTCACATCAAGGTCTTGATACATTATCTGCCAGTGTAAATGAGAACTGAACCCACTGTATTTATATATAATCTGATTTAGGCATAATAGATACAATCCTGCAACATGCTGAATTCCCTAAACTCCTGTAAGCTTCCAACTGAGGGCGTTTACAACAAAATGAGAGACTGATCTTTCAGGATCAGTCCTAGCACAGAGAGAAATAGATAGTGTAGTGCCCTTTTGTTTGCCCTTAAATTCTTTTGCCATCAGATAATTAAAGCACCTGGTTAATCTCATCGTACCTGAAATTAGTTTCCAGCTATGGACTCATCACAGACCCCTGGGGGCCAAAAGAAAAAAGATTAAAAACCCAGTGTATCAACAGCATGGTATTTGTTTCTTATTTGTGTACAGAAAGTATCTTTTATTTAAACATAATCCAACAGATTTTCACTCAGCACATTTATCTCACAGCAGTGCACTTTCCTAATTTACCAAGAATCTACTTGCAATCATCACTGGCTGTATTTTTATGACAATTGTGTTTTGTCATGGTCTGGCAGTTTTATGGGTAGCACTTATTTTTAGGTACAGCCGAGTCTGGTTAATCCATCATGATTTGTATGGCTGTCTCTGCCTAGCACATTTAGCTGGTAACCAGCCTCACCTCGTATGGGCATCACTGATGAGCCAGTTCTGGGTTTTTTTCATAATCTGACTAGAACGACTCTTTCTAAATTGATTGGATTAACCAGGTGTAGCTGTATTTAAATTACACCTAGAGATTAAGAATTATTTGATGAATAACCACATTAAAAAGATCCCTATAATGGAAGCATCTCAAATAATTATTTTGCCTTTGATCTGCACATACAAATGAGACCTTTAAGGAGTTTTGTTACAATACCACAAAGACAGAAGAAGTAGAAAGGCATAGACAGAATTCATGCAGTTAAGTGCTTCTCGTGCTAATACACGCTGTGGTGTCACCTCCTTTTATACTGAGAGGTGGGAACTGAAATTCCTTCTGTAAGAACTGTCTGGCCTGTACAGTTTCACCTTGAATAACAGATAAGAAAAAGGAAGTGGCTGTGGATAAATTTCATTATGTAGATAAATGGATTGCTACCTGCTCGCGCTTGAGGTGTCCATTCATCATGGAGAGGGATTTTTATTCTGTCTTCAGTCCCAAGCTGAATCAATTCCCATTTCTAATTTTCACCTGCAGCTGGTTCTCCGTGTAGCTTACTTGGAGACACTGGACAAACTGCATTCGTGGAGTGAAAACCAGGGAATAACTTACCTATCATTTAGCCATTCCCATTTGGAGGCTGCTTCTGTGTATATCTTGAGGCATCCACGAAAGAGGAAATATTCCAGCAGGGACACAACCACTGTGGAAGAGCAGAATGGTTTGAAAATGGTGTGGAGGGTAGTGTGGACTACCCTGTGTAGCACAGAAAGGGAGCCTGCCTCAATTGGGACAAACTGTTTTGCTGAGCAGTGGGTTACAAGTGAGGCTGTATTCATGTGACTTCAGTTCTGCTCGAGTCTTTTAGTTTAGATGTGAAAGGCCTCTCTCTGTATGTGATACCTGTCTGCTCTTATTCTTGAACAGCTGCCCTTAGGAATGCTCAGTAACTTACTTCTTGTAGCCTAGGTGGAGTTACTGTGTCTGTCTTTGGTGTTTCTTTTTTTTTTTTTTTAAAGAGTACTACATTTGAGCTTGAATGTCTATTTGAATTCTAATATTTTGACTAAATACTTAAACTCTACTCTGGGGTCAGTTGGGCTCTTCAGGTTCTGTTAACTGCAGGCAATGATACCTCCAGAATGACTAGTCATTAAATGTGAATTTTCAGGGCAAGTGTAGCTCCAGTGAGCTGTGGGACTTCCAGTGAAGTTCAGCTTCCTTCCGAGAGCCCCTGCTCACGTAGATTTATTACTCTTTGGTTGTAGTGGTTCAAGAAGTGGCTCTGGCATTTACATTGCATAAGGAGAATTAGGTGGTTGGGGGCAACGAGGAATTCAAATCAATGAGCGACTCTGATAGCAAATGTGTTTTTCTTCAGAAATTATGTATCAGCAAATAGTGCCCCTCTCTGCCAGGACCTGTATTTCACTTCGACGTCTCAAGCACGTTATCCTAGTTTTCCTCTCTCTGGCAGCTCAACCAGAGCTGTCACATCACAAACAACTTTTTTTCTTAATATACACATCTGGCGTTGGCAGTTGGACCAACTTCATAAGAGCACATGATCATCATTCATTACAAGATTAAAAAGTACCCCATGGCATCATTGATGTTTTTTAACTTTGATCTTTTGCAGTTGTGATTCATCTCAGTTATAAAACTTCCCTTTAAAGGAACACAACCGATGACTTATTAGAACCTTCATTCTAAGTAGCGTAAACATAAAATTATGCACATCTTTACAAAATGTCATTTACTTTGTTGCCAGCTTATCATTTTAAGACATGACATCATGCTTCAGATCGTGCATTTTGTAAGGCTTGTTTCTAGGCAAGGCACTCTGACCTTCTGCTGGCAAGCTGACTGGAGCAAACGAGTGCTGCGTGCTTTCCAGCAGCAGTAGGAGCAGCAGCAATACCATGACAGATATCACAATCATTTAGAGTCTGACTTTAGGAGTGCTGAACAGCCATGGCATGCAGAGACTCCAGTTGGTGTTTTGGATGCTCAGCACTTCAGGAAGTCAGGTTCTTAAATGTAAGTGCCGTTTAGCCGTATTAAACATATGCTTGTAGAAGCTTGCTGCCTTGCCTCTCTGTTATTATTTTAAAATATTTTAATAGAGACAGCAGTGCCAGGTTGCTCTGTTAGGAAAACCTGCCCATTTCTATACGAGAAAATGTCTTCTGAATGATTTGTCCTTGGAAAAGATTTCTTTATTTCTAATTATCTGTTTCAGTCTGTCTAGATTACCATCCAGGGACATCTACTGTGTTGTGCTGGACTGAAACTGTGCACTGTACTCTGAGGGATGGAGTCTGGAGACAGGGTTGTATAAGATCTTTGGGAATCATTGGGAAATCCTGCAGATATTTTTCTCTCCTCATATCCAGGATAAAACCTCTGCCATATGCACATCTTAGCCAGCAGAGCTGCTTTCCAGCTGGGAAGACTGAAAGAAGTTTTCCGGAGAAATAAGTTGTCATGAGGTCATAAATGACCAACAGATAGCAAGAGATCACTGTGAAGGAACTAAAAGAAGAAAAAAGAAACAGAACAAAAAAAAGCCCCAAATCTTTACCTAAGCCTCCCTTCAATGCCTCTGCCTTACCTCACTAGAAATACAGAAATAATTATATGCCCTTCTGTAGAGGTGCCTGTCAGATAGGAGACTTGTCCTCCTTTCTGGATGGTTTGGGTAGAAACCCAGTCAGGATGGAAATCATGAAGAAGAAAGGAGGAGAGGTCTGTATGTTTATATATTGTCCCTGGCTTCCGAAGACTCTAGCTTGTCTCTAATTAGTCTCCAAAGTCTCCGACCGCAATTTTCTTTCTCAGCATGAGTGGAGAAGTAGCTCTGAGCTCTGAGCAGAAGCATTTCGGTAGGAGAAGGCTGCTGCATGTCACTCAGCTCCTGTGCCGGGCGGCTCGCAAGGTGCAGACGTGATGGGAGCTCTGAGCAGACCTCGCCTCGCTGTCTGCACGCTGCAGGAGCCAGCGGCAGCTTCTGCTCAGACCCCGTGTTAACCGTTTGGCCGACCCAGCTTATAAAACGCAGATAAGTGATTGAGATTGTTGAGATTCCTCGACTTAAAACCATAACAGTTTTTAGGAAGTTCTCCCTCCTTTCTTTCAAAGACAAAGGGTGGAGGGATAAGTCTGGGACTAGTGGAATGTGCTTTGGAGTAGAACAGCTTTAAATCTTTCAGCTTTTTTTTTCCCTTTTCTGTCTTCTTTCTTTTTCTTTTTTTTACGTTTTCTTTTTCTTTTTTCTTTTCTTTTTTTTTTTTTTTTGTTGACTGCCTGTCAGGAGCTGGGCTGGTGGCCAAGCAGGAAATGACACATCGAGAGGCATTTGTGTTGTGCAACATTTTGTGGAACTGATGCAAGGATACATTGTCTGTTTACGCATTCCTCTGCTAACAGCCTGCATGGCAGTAATTTTATTCAGGGACACATGGCATGCTGCAGCAAGGAGCTAGATCCTTAACATCTCTTCATGCAGAATTATCACAGCAGTTAAAACATGCTGTGTGTCCCCCGTTTAGAATACTCTCTGGCTTCCCTTCAAAAACCACTCTACCAGCCCCCCTTCCTTCCCAAGATTATATTGATTTGACTGTGGGATTTTTTTCTTACACTGTGGTAAATTGGGGCAACGCAGAGAGACAGAGTTTGCAGAACAAGAGGAAATTTTAGAGGCAGGCCCTGCTTTCTGCATCTACCTCAGACTGTAAATGTAGAATCACAGGTTTTTTTGAGTGATGTGTTGCAGACTCTGGGCACGGAAGTTTGCATCTGCATGTGTTTTGGCACAGCAAGGAGGTTTTAAATTAAAGTCAGTGCGAAATACACTGAGATAGGATGAATGAGCCCTGGGTTTTCATCCAAACCGAGGTTAGCAAATCTGTGACTTGCACTGGTGGCTTTCAGGGTGACAGATCTCTTCTGAGATCGGCGGGGCTATTCCGGATTTCTCCCAGCGGCAGTGGGAGCAGAGGAAGGCAGAGTGGGCGGTCTGGCGGTTTGCAGCTTGCTCCAAATGACTTTGTAAAGCTTAACGTTTGCTTTATAATGCCTCTTTGTAAGTAATGAGGCAAAATGTGATT